TAGTTTTATAACGTGGGGGGTCTTAGTTTTATAACAGGGTCTTAGTTTTATAACGTGGGGGGTCTTAGTTTTATAACAGGGTCTTAGGTCTTAGGTCTTTGTTTTGTAGACACCCGATGTTTCAGGTTAGGTTATGAATTTGAAATAAGCTGATGAGTTTTACATTTTAGATATTGTTTCTGCTTTGAACATGAAATTTAGCATGGAATTACATGAATTAGAATGAAAGGAAGGATGATAAGCTTACCAAAACAATGATTTATCCAAATAATATCCTAATTATATCCAATTAATATGATCTAATCCATGAAATGATGATAAAACGCCAGAATCTAGGACTACATGTTGTGCCTGCAAAATCCCAGCAGAAGAGACAGTTGGTTCGAACTGAGCATGAAACTAAAATTTCACTGACATGAACCTATTAGCTTAAAAGTATTACATGAGAAAACAAACTGAGAAATTCTCTGGCTTCTACTAATAGGTGTGAACTGTTAAAACATACAGGGCTTGACAATTAATATATAAGATACAAGATTTGTCTAAATAAAGTGAGATAATTACAAAATGATTACAAATCTAGCATTTGATTGGAATAAAAGTAACGGCACAAAAATATTATATATTGGTGGGTCGTTACAAACAAAATTAACTTAAAGGGACCCACCACCATGGTCACATGATCAGTCATGTGGAGGTAAGCTCTCAGTTGAAATAAAAGCACTGTCCTCCTTTGATTTCTGTGAAAAGTAGCTAATACCCTCACACACTACTATACCCCCATACTGTATCCTGTATTCCTTTAAAAGAAGTACAGGCTACAGGGAAGTTGCAAATGGAGGACGTTTGTTTATTTCCATAGTTCTGAATGTATACTAGATTTTACACATATATAGGTAGTGTTCTACTATACATTGTATAGATTCATCGAGCAGTTTGCAACGTATTATTACCAGAAAAGCCTAATGGACAAAGATAGAGAATGCCCGCTCCATTTGCAACTTAACCGTACCCTGTATCATTTTTAAATGTGGTCACGTGGTAGGGTAGTGTGCTCATGCATTGGTCAGTTTGTGTGTCACACGACTAATCCATACCATATGCTTCATTCAACATATTTTATGCTATTGAGCTGCATATATAAACAGTACTTTGCAACTAAGGTCATACAGTACTTGCCCGTAGCCAGCTTTTACCAGGGGGGGGAGCTTTTCTCCAGGGGGGGGGAGCTTTTTCACAATTTTGGCTAAAAATCATGCGAAAAACTCTCAGAATGGTGAAAAACTGCATGATTTTGAAAGAATTTCTGGCCAGGGGGGGGGAGCGGAAGCTCCCCCAGCTCCCCCTCTGGCTACGGGCCTGCAGTATACTTACCCCTTGCAAATTGTAATTTATTGAATTCACAGTAAACCCATCAATTTTTAAGAAAACAAAGAATATTGTTCTCATGGATCTATTATTTATGTTAGACTAACTATGAAAATATAAATATGAAATAATATGTTAGCTTGAAGTCATATATAAGATGAAAATATATGTTCATGCATTTGCATTTTTCCAAAGGGAATATTCCCATGTAAGTAAATACAGGTGCAATATATAATTTATATGTATATCTATGTCATCTGTCTATACATGCGCGTATAGCCTAGTGTTACATGTGAACAAGATGGTTCTGGAAAGAAATGAGCGTGTCAGATTTGCTAATAAGCCACATACACCACAAAAGCAAGACCAATTTGAAAGTAAGTTCATTATTCTCAAGGGTACACTTCAAGTGAAAGCTACATTGCTACAGGGTGGCCTATCATTCTGAGACAAATGTATTATCCAACGATTGTGATTTTCGAAGCTAAAATATGATATCTTGAGCAGATGGAAATACATTCCCATGAGATATGTATACATAGTCAAAAGTGATAACTATTTATTGAGTGTAATGAAATGTATCCTTCGCTAACTGCTTTTGTTTGAGATAATTATCATGAAATATTTTTAAATTAATTTTTATGTGTGTCATTGATCCTAATCCACCCTGTAGTCTGGTGTTTGTAGAGCATTGCGACTCGTACAACTTATTCTCACAAATATCAAACCTCATTTACTAATTAATTTTTTGTGTGAATATGAAGAGTCCAAGCATTGCTTTTTTATGTTTATTGTATAGCCATATTTAGCCTTGATATCCATGATTTTTTAAAACAAAATCTCACCGTTAGATTTCGAGCTATTCATGTTTACTCATTTTTCTAATTGGAAAACAATGCAAAAGAAAAAAATTGAAATTCTAAGACGGTGAAAAATCATTAAAAAATACACAGATTCAGAATCCAGCAAGCATTTCCCTTATTCCTCTCCGTTAAGAAGTTTTGTAAGGTGTCGGGTCCCTTTAAAACAGGAATCTTATCGACAGAAGGTTTAAGGCAAATGGTCCAAAAGTGGATTTTGCAAGACAGATGGACAAATCAATGTTAACTAAAATGGCTGAAAATAAAAAAATGGATATAATTTTTTGCTGATTTTTCGTAACAAAATTATTTTATACATCTACTTTTTACATTGACATGGATTTTTACAATGTAGGACACTTGAAATTATTTGTAAAGCTAGGAAATGAGTCAAAAGTGAATTTCACGAGACAAAAATGGCGGCCATTTTGAAAATAGGCGAGCTTTTGAACCAGGAGTCATAGGGGAGTTTTCTGTATTGATGTTGAACAAAAACAACTTAAAACAGGAATCCTATCCACAGAGGTTTTAAAACTGCCACTGTTGTTGACGGAAAAGTGGATTTCGCGAGTCAGATGGACAAATAAATGTTAACTAAAATGGCTGAAAATAAAAAAATGGATATAATTTTTCGCTGATTTTTTGTAACAATATTATTTCATTTATCTACTCTTTACATTGACATGGATTTTTACAATGTAGGACACCTGAAATTATTTGTAAAGCAAGGAAATGGGTCAAAAGTGAATTTCGCGAGACAAAAATGGCGGCCATTTTAAAAATAGGTGAGTTTTTGAACCAGGAGTCATAGGGGAGTTTTCTGTATTGATGTTGAACAGAAATAACTTAAAACAGGAATCCTATCGACAGAAGGTTTAAGGCAAATGGTCCAAAAGTGGATTTGCGAGACAGATGGACAAATCAATGTTAACTAAAATGGCTGAAAATAAAAAAATGGATATAATTTTTTGCTGATTTTTTGTAACAAAATTATTTCATACATCTACTTTTTACATTGACATGGATTTTTACAATGTAGGACACTTGAAATTATTTGTAAAGCTAGGAAATGAGTCAAAAGTGAATTTCGCGAGACAAAAATGGCGGCCATTTTGAAAATAGGCGAGCATTTGAACCAGGAGTCATAGGGGAGTTTTCTGTATTGATGTTGAACAGAAACAACTTAAAACAGGAATCCTATCCACAGAGGTTTTAAAACGTGCCACTGTTGTTGACGGAAAAGTGGATTTCACGAGTCAGATAGACAAACCAATGTTAACTAAAATGGCTGAAAATAAAAAAAATATGGATATAATTTTTCGCTGATTTTTTGTAACAAAATTATTTCATATATCTTCTCTTTACATTGACATGGATTTTTACAATGTAGGACACCTGAAATTATTTGTAAAGCTAGGAAATGGGTCAAAAGTGAATTTAGCGAGACAAAAATGGCGGCCATTTTGAAAATAGGCGAGCTTTTGAACCAGGAGTCATAGGGGAGTTTTCTGTATTGATGATGATGGCATCACGGACAGACGGACGGACGGACGGACAGACGGACAGACAAACGGACAAGTGAGTGATTGCAAAAGCTCACCAGGTGAGCTAAAAAAGCTGAGGTCAGTTAAGCTATATTGTCCAAGGAAGACATGTCTAGCTTCTCATAGAGATAACTACATATGTTTTAATCGATCGAAATTGTGTTGAGACCATTTGAAGGGCATATATGGTATGAGATACTGGGCATATGGTATGAGATGCTGTATTTTGAGCAATGATGTCTCAAGCAGAGAAAAATTTGGAAATTTTTTATGACGCACACAGTATACAGATCATGACCATGACAAGCCAAAAATAATCATACAATCATATTTGTATCTTTAATATTTTCACAAATAATCATTGTACCATTATCTGAATTTTTGTGGACTGAACTGCAATAATAAAGATAATTGAATAAAAAGAAAAATGTTCCAATTTTTATTGGCCCACCCTGTATGTCCGTGAGCGAGCACCTTTCAGGACTTTTGTTGTTAGGGGCCACTTCACTGCCTCGGCCGCTGAGTATGGTCGAATCACGTCAACCAACGGGTGGGATTGCTCTCTTGTTCAAGAACAGAAAGATGTGCTGAGTATCAGAATGCATATAACAGTATAATCCAGGCTTACTTTCAAGGTGCATTTATCAACTAGAATTAGACGAGGCATTAACATGACAAAATGTCACCACCTAGTTGCTCACAATATTATTAGTTCAAACTAAGTCAGATTTGAATTTCTGAGAACTCTGGAGATGATTTTGAAAAAATGGTCAATTTGAAACAAGTTGTTTGACCCTGAGAAGATCATTGAAGATGAAATCTTAAGTCAGATTTGAACTTTTGAGAACTTGATGATTTTGAAAAAATGTGTCAATTTGTAGCTGAAATTTGAAGTTGAAAAAATAACCATGACCTTGAGAAGGTCATTGAAGGTCAAATCTTTTTTTACCTTGAAAATGTCATTGAATGTCAAAACCATATTCAGATTTGAATTTTTGAGAACTTGTAAATGATTTTGAAAAAAAATTGGTCAATTTGAAGCAAGTTGAAAAAAGACCTTTTTTCAACTTTTGTTTGACCTTGAAAGGTCATCAAAGGTCAAATCTTAATTCTAGAGTCAGATTTGAACTTCTGAAAACTTGTAGATGATTTTGAAAAAATTTGAAGTCAGTCTAAACAGTATTTGTCAAGATATTGGAAGTTGTAAGAAATTGTTAGAGATGCTGATCGCCAACTACCAACCGCGAACCACCAACAGACAACCGTCAATCGCCATCACAAAAAATGGAGACCATAACAATATGTCACAAGGTGGTGACATAAAAAACAGCAACTCCCAGGAGTATGTACATTACAGTAACTATCATACTGCTGAGTTTGATCCGTTCATTGGTCCCAGTTTGACACTACTGGCACTACTCATCAGCTTAAGCAGAAAAAAAAAATATTCTCTTCCAAATCATTTTTATGAATAAGATTTCCAAATGTCTCAAACAATGTTGTCAAAATTTTAGTGAATCAGTCCATGAAGTTGAATATGATTGTCTCTGTCAGATTGTATCCTAGCTACAGTTAGTGTATGTTGAATTCGTACATACTGCTAGGGGATGACCTTGCAATAGCTCCTTTCTTTTTACCCCCCTTTCCCTTCTTACGCTTTCTTGAGCCTGTACCTGAAGAAGGAACAAGAGTATTACTATTACATGTAAACATTATTTTACAAGTTATTAGAATATAAATAAGATTACTAAAGGAACTCAGATAACACAAGCTTGGCCATTAACGACATCCAGAAATGTGTGCTTAAGACCATGTCATTACAAATTGGACATTATTGGCGCCTATTTCAGAAATTGATATATTTTTTCTTTACATTTTAATGTTCTCTTATTTTTAAATTCACATGTACAAGAACATTTTTGGGTGTTTTTACGATGACTGCTATGTTTGATCAGCATCATAAACAGTCATAAAACAAAATAACAGTGAGTCATTACCACAAGATTAACAAGGCATTAACATGACAAAATGTCACCACCAAGTCGCTCACAATATTATTAGTTCAATCTTAAGTCAGAACTTGTAGATGATTTTAAGAAAAAATGGTCAATTTGAAGCAAGTTGAAAAAATACCTTTTTTGAGCCTGAGAAGGTCATTGAAGGTGAAATCTCAAATCTAAAGTCAGATTTTAACTTCTGAGAACTTGTAAATGATTTTGAAAAAATTGGTCAATTTGAAGCGAGTTGAAAAAATACATTTTTGATCTTGAAAAGGTCTTTGAATGTCAAATATTTTTTTACCTTGAGAATCTCATTGAGGGTCAAATCTTTGGTCAGATTGGAACTTCTGATAACTTGTTGATGATTTTGAAAAACATTTGGTCAATTTGAAGCAAGTTGAAAAAGACCTTTTTGAACTTTTTTGACCTTGAGAAGGTCACTGAAGGTCAATCTAAAATCTAAAGTCAGATTTGAACTTCTGATAACTTGTAGATGACTTTGAAAAAATAGGTCAATTTGAAGCAAGTAAAAAATACCTTTTTGACATTTTTTGACCTTGAGAAGGTCAATGAAGGTCAAATCTAAAATCTAGTTAGATTTGAACTTCTGACAGCTTGTAGATGATTTTGAAAAAAACTGAAGTCAGTCTAAACAGTATTTGTTAAGTTATTGGAAGATTTAAGAATTTGTTACACATGCCAACCGCTGATCGCAGCCACAAAAAAATGGAGACCACAACAATATGTCACCACACATAATGAATCTTAAAACATTGCTTTGATATAGCTTTAAAGATTGAACCGTACAAGTGGAGTCAGAATGGGTGTTTAAGCGTGCATTCAGAGGGATTTTATACTCAGTGGAATGTTTCCAAAGGAGTGGTATCGATATGGAGAACTTTTTGAACACAAGTTTCTCTTAAACCAGTCATAAAAAAATCTAAAAATTTAAAATATCGTTAATTTGATGGTCATCTTTTGAATGGTAACAATATAATTTGAAAAATATATATATACGTTCATCTATATTGTTTTAGAAAACACATCAAACACTTGTTTTGTTCTTAGTATCATGTTTCCAGAGTGAAATGAAACATCTTTCCGAATCTCACTGGAACAAAACGACATAAACACAACATGTTTAGGTCTCTCAATATTGTAATTGTACAAAGGAAATTTTGGTTGATTTCAAAAAAGTATCTTGTTAATGAAATACAAGAACACAAATGTGTACAAAATGTCCCTACCTATGGGTGATCCCGTCAAATGGTTATCTTAAAAATGAGTAAACAAGACTTTACCGACACAATTTGAGGACGGAAAATCCAAAATGGCCACCTTAAAATTTACCCAGAATGCCAAAAAATTAGTCAGTTCTAGATTTTCATACTATACCCCCCTGAAAATTTGAAATTGATCCGTCACACAGTTAACCAGAAAACATGTAAACAAGACTTTACAGACAAGATTTGAGGACAAAATCCAAAATGGCTGCCTTGACATTTATCCAGAATGCCAAAAAACTAATCTGTTCTAGATTTTAATACTAAGAATCATCCCTGAAAATTTTAAATTGATCTACCAAACGGTTCACCTGGAAATGCGTAGACAAGACTTTACAAACAAGATTTTAGGACAGAAAAATCCAAAATGGCTGCCTTGACATTTACCCAGAATGCCCAAAAACTAGTTAGATCTAGATTTTCATACTAAGAATTATCCCTGAAAATTTGAAATTGATCTACCAAACGGTTCACTAAAAAACGCGTAGACAAGACTTTACAGGCAAGATTTTAAGACGGAAAATCCAAAATGGCTGCCTTGACATTTATCCAGAATGCCAAAAAACTAGTCAGATCTAGATTTTCATACTGAGAATCATCCCTGAAAATTTCAAATTGATCTACCAAACGGTTCACCTGGAAATACGTAGACAAGACTTTACAGACAAGATTTTAGGACGGAAAATCCAAAATGGCCACCTAAACATTTACCCAGAATGCCGAAAAACTAATCAGTTCTAAACTTTCATAGGTAGAAACATCCCTGAGAATTTCAAATGAATCCCTCAAATGCTTTAGCTGGAAACCTGTAGACAAGATTATTTGGGACGCCCGCCCGTCAAACTGATTACATATACATGTATAGCACCTTAGGGTGCGATAAAAAGAAATGGAACATTTTAGAGTATGCTGCTCTGGCGTTGTTTTCAATTGAAACTGCTCCGTCACAATGGACAAAAAATTTAAACATTAATTTTTATGAAAAAAATTAAAAAGACTCTGTACATCCAGATCTTATTAATACCTTCAGATTTATACTGAAAACATATGTAAATATCATTGTGTTACTCTATCGTGCCATTTATCGAAAAAGAAATGGAACATTTTAGAGTATGCTGCTCTGGCATCGTTTTCAATAGCTTTTGAATTTTATTGAACTTCAAACACAAGTGAAGGTTGCCTGCAAATGTTATACCCATTGCATAGAGTAGGTAATCTTCGTTGGTATAACGAAATATAAGAGTTAAAAAATAAATTGTGGAGTTTTCTTAGTGTTTTTATGAAAAATAGCATGCTCCGTCACAGCAGACAAATTTTTTGAAACCTGCCTGTGTTAAAGCGAGAAAACAAAATTTCAATGAGAATTTAACATGGTGTAAACAAAAATTTAAAATATACAAATCTGGGAGAAAGTATGTTTATTGCAGTTGCACATCATATGCATAAAGGTATGGAGTGTACGTACTAAAAGGGACCATTTCAAAGGTATAATTAAAGCTTTTTACAAGTACTCAACTAGAAAGTCTTAATCACTACTTGAATATGTTTCGAGATTTATGATTACAGGGTCCATTTCCTCAATAAGATAGATCTTTTCTCTTACCCATCTCTAAGTTAAGGTGCTATGGAAGTTAACAGGAAATGACAAAACAGGAAGTGACAATTTTTTTTGCATTTTTAGATGTTTTTTGAATAAAGATAACAGAGTTCTGGTTTGACCTCCAGTCAATTTAACTATTTCCACATGTCATTTACATGACCAGGATCACAATGTGCATGGTCAGAATGACCCTAAACATGATGAAATAACCTTTTTAGCCCTTTGAAAGTGTGACTGAAAAAAAGCTAAAAGTAGGAGCGTAGGGATAGTCACTGAACAGAATCTTTTGAATTTTTCAGAAAATGTGCCCAATATAATGCTCTAACTAGTACAATCTTTGAAATTTTAGAAAATTGTCTTAAACAAAAATGGCAGTCATAAAAAGGAAAATAGATCGCTTTTCAAATCGTTTTTTTCATTTTTTTTCTTTTTCTATGAATGATATCAAATTTTCAAAGATTGTATCATTTAGAGCAATATATTGGGCACATTTTCTGAAAAATTCAAAAGATTCTGTTCAGTGACCTTCCCTACGCTCCTACTTTTAGCTTTTTTCAGTCACACTTTCAAAGGGCTAAAAAGGTTATTTTATCATGTTTAGGGTCATTATGACCATGCACATTGTGATCCTGGTCATGTAAATGATATGTGGAAATAGTTAAATTGACTTTGGGTCTGGGATGACCTTCGTTTTTATACGAGGAAGGCCCTTCATTTAAAATATTGATACCCGAGATAGATGATACTTCCAAAATTTTGTATGAATATACAACTATTGCAATTTTACTGTATAACTAGATTCAACAATATTGAAATATTCATGTACTAGGAGTAATCTACACTCAATTTGTATAATCGTGTTTTGTTTAATTGAGTGAATCAGGTCGGGCCATTTTACAATTTTAGTTAAGGTCATGGAATTAGGTCATTTGGGCCTTTTCTCCCATGGAAGCTATGACCTAAATATGAGTTGGAAAATGGCCCATGCCATAGACTGTACAACTTGATTTGAAAAAATGTTGATATGGGATTACATGATTGCATTGTTTATGAAAACCACAGTGGTCACTCCATGCATAATATGTTGATTTTCATATGACATGACGTGTGTGGTTGAAACAATTTGCTGCGAAATACGATTTTGTAGATAAATATGAAACCCTGGCTTTCAAAATCAAGTTATTTGCTCTTATGTTGAGCCAATTATTGCATGACTGCATGACTGGGTATAATAATATCACTTGTAATTGAGTGCAGAATCAATCGACCTTAAAATATTTCTGAAAGAATGTAAGTTATATAACAGCAAACATGGCCAGTGTTTGGGGATTAAAACCTTTTCACCAGAATGTAATGCTGTAAGGCCAAAATATAATTATTGGGTTAACATTTTCAGTTATCGATATACAGTTTCACAAATGCATTTCAATCAATTCCTTGTATATGCAATGAATAATATTGCAGTGCTCTTTCCTCAAGAATTTCTTTTTGTCAAGTTCAATCAATCAAAAATATTATTTATGTGGCTATTGGAATGCATGCGAATGTGGAACTAATGTATATTTCTACTTTGGTTCAGCCTTCGTAGTAGTTTGCAACATCAACCTTTCGATTTAGCGCCAAAATAACTTGAAACATGGTACTTCATAGTCACGTGACCTCAAAAAGTGTGCAAAAATAACAACATTTCAGAGGTTGACAGTCTTATCTTAATAAATTGTGTTGTGTGGGGAAATATCACAAGCTTTGTAGTTAAAACAAGAACAAAATGTGTACAAAAAGTCTCCACC